TTTCTCATTGTAGAACGCATGCCATATTTTCTAAAACAAAATAGTCAGGCCTGAAAACACAAGTAGCATGATACAGACTGAATAAGATGTATGAGGTTTCTTTTGTGTGTTGTATGTATGTGTTCGAATCCACATGAATTCAACTCTGTGTGTGTGTGTGTGTCTGTATATACACACAACAACAACTTTTTTATAAAAACCAAAATGTAAAAATGATAAAGGGGGTACATTTGAGTTAAGAGAAAAATAATGAAACGTTGTTATTATTTTTTTAAAAATCCACAAATCAATTTCAAAAGCCCCATCTCTTAAATATGAGGTCTATTTGAAATCCAGATGCAGGCGTAGAAGTCAAAAGGTACTGAAGTTAAATCAGGATCAGATAAACCATCTAAACAGTACCATAACCCCTAAAGAAATAGAAGCAGTCATTAATAGTCTCCAAAAAAAAAAAAAATAAGCCTAGGACCAGATGGATTTAGTACAGAATTCTATCAGACTTTCAAGGAAGACCTAATATCAATATTCTTCAAATTATTCCACAAAATAGAAACAGAAGGAACACCACCCAATTAGTTCTATGAAGTGACAATTATACTTATACCTAAACAACACAAAGACCCAACAATGAAACAGAACTTCAGATCAATATATCTCATGAATATTGAATCAAAAATACTCAATAAAATTCTCACAAATAAAATCCAAGAACACATGAAAACAATCATCCATCATGATCAAGTAGTCATCATCCTAGGAATGCAAGGATGGTTCAATATATAGAAACCCATCAATGTAATTGACTATATAAACAACCTCAAAGAAAAAATCCACATGATCATTTCATGAGATGCTGAGAAAGCATTTGACTAAATCCTATACCCCTTCATGATAAAAGTCTTGGAAACAACACGAATTCAAGCCCCATACCTAAACATACTAAAAGCAATGTACAGCAAACCAGTAGCCAACATCACACTAAATGGAGATAAACTTGAAGCAATCCTACTAAATCAGGGACTAGACAAGGCTGCCCACTCTTGCCCTACATACTAAATATAGTATTTGAAGTACTAGCCAGAGCAATTAGACAGCAAAAGGGGGTCAAAGGGATACACATTGGAAAGGAAGAAGTCAAAAAACCACTATCTGCAGATGATATGATAGTATACTTAAGTGACCCCAAAAATTCCACCACAGAACTCCTCGACCTGATGAACAACTTCAGCAAAGTGGCTGCATATAACATTAACTCAAATAAATCACTAGCTTTCCTCCACTCAAAGGATAAACAAACTGATAAAGAAATTAGGGAAATGACACCCTTCACAATAGTCACAAATATTATAAAATACCTTAGTGTGACCTTAATAACAACTCTATTATTTTTCCAAATAATAGCATAATTTCATTCTTGTTCTGTATGACAAAAACTTCAAGTCTCTGAAGAGACTTGCAATCTACAGATTCAGTGCAATCCCTATCAGTGTTCCAACTCAATTCTTCATAGAGTTAACAAGAGCAATTTGCAAATTCATCTGGAATAACAAAAACCCTAGGATCACAAACACTATTCTTGACAACAGAAGAACTTCTGGGGGAATCACCATTCCTGACCTCAAGCTACATTAGACATCAATAGTAATAAAAAGTGCATGGTGATTGGTACAGAGATAGGCAGGTAGATCAATGGAACAAAACTGAAGACCCAGAAATGAACTCACACAGGTATGGTCACTTGATCTTTGACAAAGGAGATAAGACCATCCAGTGGAATACAGACAGCATATTCGACAGACAGTGCTAGTTCAACTGGTTGTCACAGCATGTAGATAAATGCAAATCTATCCAATCTTATTTCTTTGTAAAAACTCAAGTCCAAGTGAATCAAGGACCTCCACATAAAACAAAATACACTGAAACTAATAGATAAGTGGGGAAGAGCCTCAAACACATGGGCACAGGGGAAAATGTCATGAACAGAACACCTATGGCTTATGCTCTAAGATCAAGAATTGACAAATGGGACCTCATAAAATTGCAAAGCTTCTGTAAGGCAAAGGACACTATAAATAGGACAAAATGGCTACCAAAAGAATGGGAAAAGATATTTACCTACAACCAATAGAGGGCTAATAGCCAATATGTACAAAGAACTCAAGAAGTTGGACTCCCAGAGAACCAAATAACCCTATTAAAAATGTCCAATAAAAAATGTGATACAGAGCTAAACAAAGAATTCTCAACTGAGGAATACCGAGTGGCTGAAAACTACCTAAAGAAATGGTGAACGTCCTTAGTAACTAGGGAACTGCAAATCAAAACAACCCTGAGATTTGATTCCACCTCACATCAGTCAGAATGGCTAAGATCAAAAATGTCACGTGACAGCAGACGCTGGAAAGAATGTTGAGAAAGAGGAACACTCCTCCAATGATGGTGTTATTGCAAACTGATACAATCACTCTGGAAATCAATCTGGATGTTCCTCAGAAGACTGGAAAGAGTATTACCTGAGGAACCAGTTATACCACTCCTGGGAAAATACCCAAAAGATGCTCCAACATATAACAAGGACACCTGCTCCACTATGTTCATGGCAGGCTTATTTATAATAAACAGAAGCTGGAAAGAACCCAGATGTCCTTTAACAGAGGAAAGGATACAGAAAATGTGGTACATTTACACAATAGAGTACTACACAATTATTTAAAAATAATCACTTCATGAAAGGCAAATGGATGGAACTAGAAAATATCATACTGAGTAAGGTAACCCAACCATAAAAGAACACACACAGTATACACTCACTAAGAAGTTGATATTAGCCCAAAAGCTGGGAATACTCAAGATACAATTCAAAGACAACATGAAGCTCAAGAAGAAGGAAGACCAACGTATGGATGGATAATTTGGTCCTTCTTAGAAGAGAGAACCAAATAATCACAGGAGGAGATACAGACACAAAGTGTAGAGCACAGACTGAAGGAAAAGTCATCCAGAGACTGTAACACATGGGGATCCATCCCATATAAAGTTACCAAACCCAGGCACTATTGTGGATGCCAAGAAGTACTTGCTGACAGGAGCCTGATATAGCTGTCTCCTGAAAGGCTCTGCCAGAGCCTGATAAATACAGAGGTGGATGCTCACAGCCAACCATTGGACTGAGCAGAGAGTTCCCAGTGGAGAAGTTAGAGAAAGGACTGGAGGAGCTGAAGGGGTTTGCAACCCTATAGGAAGAACAATAAAATGAGCCAACCAGAGTCCCCAGAGCTCCCAGGGACTGAAGCACCAAACAAAGAGTACAAATGGAGCAACTCATGGCTCCAGGCACTTATGCAGCAGAGGATGGCCTTGTTGGACACCAATGGGAGGAGAGGCTCCTGTTCCTGTGAAGGCTTCATGTCCCAGTGAAAGAGAATGCCAGTAAGGAGAAGTGGTAGTGGGTATGTGGGGAGACACCCTCATAGAAGCAAGGGGAGAAGGGTGGGATAGGGTATTTTCAAAGGGGATAACATTTGAAATGTAAATGAAGAAAAAAGCTGATTAAAAACAAGAAGACGACTAGAGTCTGACCTAAGAGACTAAGGTTATTTCTACCTTAGTCTG